AATTAGTACTTTAGTGATCTTGGGTGTCACCTGGATGAAGTTTCAGATGCCTAAGGCATTTGTAGCCCATAAAAGTTCTATGATATCACAGTTCCTCGATCGGCAAGTTTTGCTGAGACCTGCTGGAACGCGGCAGCCTGACATTTAGCAGTTCTGTCTAGGCGTGGCATGGAAAGGTACAGTTCACAGTTGCACACTGTAAAGAATTATGCAAATGTGCAGTTATTCATGATGAACTAGACAATGTAAAAACTGATGAACCCTTAGAGATCCAATATCCTTATTTAAAAATTGAAGCAAGGGAGGCCTGGAGCTGAGATGATCTAGCCAACATCAAGTGGCAGTTAATGACTGAGACCACCGACTCAACTTTGATTCCTAGTATTTGGAGGAATGCTTTCAGAAACAGCTAAAATTTATTAGTGGTCCTGTGCCCCGCCCCCAGTTTAAAGACCAAATTTCACTTGTAGGCCACTGTGAAATCCAAGTATGTATCATTGAGTATATAATTTAGGTAATCAATAGCTATAGGGAAATAACTTTAATATTGATATTAGTCAAACAATTCTGAATTGGCTCTTATAACGTCACTTTCTTTGAGTTTTAACCAGGTGGTTTGCTTTTCTATTTAATCATGTTAGCTCATCACAGATTCAGGGCGCTTAAGTCTCTAAGGCACAGCCCACAGCTGAACCGCCTTTTTGCAGATAGATGCACATGGTTTCCAGAGGGAAGGAGAGCTTTGAGTAAAACCAAAAAAGCAGTTTATGCCCATTCTAACATTTTAGGATTGTTGATTTTCACTGAAGGCAAGAAAAACACTATAGTCATTTTCAGAAGTTGGTTTCTCTACCTTCATGATTCATCAAGAAAAGGAAGAATCATTGTGATACAAGAGTACAATAAGTAAGTGCCTTGAAAACACACATCTGTGTTCACACTCTGGTTCTATTACGTACTAGATGTGTGACTTTGGAGAAGTTATTAAATGAGTCTCTGTTCTTTATCAATGCATGAGGTTAATAGATCTACTCTACTTTTGGTGACTATTGTGGGGTTTAAAGGTACACTAATTCTCAATAAAGTCACCAATAAGTTCTGCAACTTTAAGCAAATTGACATAATGAAACCAATTTAACCACAGGTTATTTGATATAAACAAGAGTAAAGTTCCTAGAGTATTCATCAATGTTATAATGAAACAACATTCACGAAACACTATTATTCAAGGACCTGCTATGATATGTGTAAAGTCCAATGCCTTTTACAGAGTAGTTGCACATTAAATGGTAACTGAAGTTGAAAGGGACATGTTTTCAAAATTTGCCTGCTATTAGATATCTTTTAAGAGGTTGATGGTTCATCCTGAAGTCCCCGTAGTTTGATTCTTTACAGCTTCCTTTAATGTTTATTGCCACTTAAATTGGTTTGCGTGACCTTAGTTATAAGCATTTCATAAGGGACCATCTGATTATTCAACTTTCAGCAAGTATTTATTGTTCCAGGTACAGTTCTGATGTTGGCACAGAACAGAACAAAAAATCATACCATCATGGGATTAATAGTAGTGAAAAGATGTAGACCAGTGGCTCCCAAACTTATTTGGCCTACTGCCCCCTTTCCAGAAAAAATATTACTCAGCCCCTGGAAATTAATTTTTTTAAAATTTTAATAGCAGTTACTCATCACCCCCAAATGCACCTGTGGCCATCACCGCCCCCCTGGATCGCTGCAGCGCCCACCGGGGGGCGGTAGCGCCCACTTTGGGAATCACTGATGTAGACAATAGGTAATAAAAGTAAATAGGTATGTTATACATTAGAATCTTGCAACTACTATGAACAAGGACAAGGTGGCTGGGAATGTAGGGGACAGGAGGTGAAATTTAAAGGGGATGATCAGAGTCAGCCTCATGGACAAGGTGACGGATGAGTGAAGATTTGAAGGAGGTAAAAGAATGAGACATGGCAAGTATCTGGGAAAAGAATATACCAAGTCCCAGGGAACAGTCAATTCAAAATCTCACAGGCAGGAGCATACTTGGTATATCTGAGGAATAGTGAGGCTGCTTGTATCTGGAGAGGAGTGAATGTAGGTGAAATAGGAAATGCCATTAGAGGTTTAATGTGGTCCAGATCACTTGTAATGACTTTGGCTTCTGTTTGAGAGAAATAGAACCCTATGAGGGTTTGAACAGAGGCATGACATGATCTGATTTACATTTTAACAGGATTACTCTGGCTGCTATGTTGAGAATAATTAGGGGTTAAGAGTGGGAATAAGGCCCTACTGGTGTGGCTCAGTGGTTGAGCATCGACCTATGAACCTGGAGGTCGTGGTTTGATTCCCGGTCAGGAAACATGCCTGGGTTGCAGGCTCGATCCTCAGTGGGAGGCGTGTAGGAGGCAGTCAATTGATGATTCTGTCATTATTGATGTTTCTATCTCTCTCTCCCTTCCTCTCTGAAATCAATAAAAAAATAAAATAAAAAACGGGTGGGAATAAGGAAGTTAGCCCAATAGAAGGCAGTTTGGCCAATGTGACAGAAGTGGAGGTGGTGAGAAGAGGTCAAACTCTGAAAAAAAGAAAAAAGAAAAGAAAAGAAAAAGAGGCTGGAGTCTGGACACATTTGGAAGACAGCCAATTTGGTGATAGAACAGAAGTTGGCTGTAAGAAATAGAAATGTCAAGATGACATCAATGTTTTTGGCCTTGGAAGGACAAAGTTACCATTAACTGAGGTGGGGAATATATGGTTGAAGCAGGCTTGGACATGTTAAGTTCAGTAAATACATTAGACATCTGAGAGATGCCAAGGATGCAGTCGACGATATAAGTCTGGAGTTTAGGAAAGAGTTTTGGGCTGGAGCTATAAAATTGGAAATCACTTTCATAAATGTCCTATTTTAAAACCAGCAGACTGGAAAAAGAAGAGATTTAAGCAAAGGAAAGACTTGGGACCAAGAAGGAAATGCCAATGGAAAAAGATGAATAGGAGGCATGAGTATGTTGTGTCCTTGAGGTCTAATGAAGAAATTTCAGAAGGAGGGAGTGATCAGGATGTCAAATGCCATTTGATAGGGAGAGTAAGATGTCTGAGAATGGACCATTCCTTTAGCAAGGTGAAAGTGATGAGCAGTCAGGGGTGGCATGGGCCTAACTGAATTTAATAAAAAACGGGAGGAGAGGAACTGGAGCAGTTTCTTCTTTCAAGTTTTACTATAAAAGAAAGCAGAGAACTGTCAAGAGATTTATTTTCCTTTAAAAATTGGAGAAATAGGAGCATGTTTGTATGCTGAAGGGTCTTCCCTGGTTGAAAAGGAATATGTGATAATGAGGAAATGGGATGTATCCAGTGGTAAGTGGAAACAACCCACTTAGAAACACAAATGGTATCCAGCCACAGACTTTTACAGTTGATCTCACTATCTTTAGATGAATGGGTTTATATACACGAGAAAGAAACAACACAATTCATTTTCTTGCTGATAATTAAGAGCAGTTAATGTTACTATGTCTCAGGAAATGAGGCAAGAAGGAGGGATAAAAATCACTATTTTATAGTTAACAAACTGGTTTCGATGACTTATCCAAGATTATGCACTAAGCTCTTCAAAAACAACATTAATTTTGGAAAATAAGTTACTTGTATTAGGCACAAAAAATTTAACTACTTTGAATGTCTGACAACTTCCCAAAATAATATTTTCAGTCATACCTAAATCACATCCTCGTGTTCTTATAATGTGTAAAAATTCACTCTAGTTTCACACAACAATTTCTTCAAGCACTGTCCCCAAAACTTCTTTGGCCAGATAATAGAGATAAATCTAATTTCAAAGGAGTTCATGAATTTTGGGAAAATGGACAGTTTGACTTACTTAAACTTAAATATTGGAAACCTCCCAAACTTGGCAGCCAATCCTACATGTTCCAGACCACCTATTGTTCAAAATACTAAGGAATGCATTCCTAAGTAAGTCACCAGACAAGTAGAAGAAAACTTGTAACACTTAAAAGTGAAACTTTCCCATTTGATCAAACAGTGCATTACTAGAGGAATATTCTCCAAGAAATAAGTGTGGGTGCCAAGATTTTGAATAAACAGTAACCAAATGCCCCTAATTTATTATAGACAATAGCCTGGAAATGGACACTAATTGTTTAAACCTAATTTTTTTTTTCTATTATGATTCTGATGTTTGGGGCATGTCAAGGACGTAGGCCTTCTTAGACATATCCATGTAGAAACAGAGCACATTTTATTACCCCTCATCCAAGCAAGCCTCATTGCAAAGATTCTTGTCTGAGCTTTAAAAACTCTGTTTCTTTACAACTTACTTCAGGAAAACAGGATGAGGTACTGCCAGCCCTAAGTTTTCATGGCTCATATGTGAGCCACTAACGCATCGATGTGTTGCCACCTTCCTTCCAGGGTGAAGGAAACTTTTAAGAGGATGTGGCTAAGTCGGTGCTTTTCCCTCCAATGCATCTGGTCATGAGGGTGTGTGTAGCACTCAAGATCACTAGGGGATCTCAGTCCTGATTGCTCAATAAAACAGACTCTGGACTGTTCCCATCTGTAGCAAAACACACACACACACACACACACACACACACACACACAATGTTTCTTTAGCCTCCAACTTTCTAAAGAAATCATTGTTCCCTCTATCTACTGATTTTCATAACCATAGAACATGAGAAATACTACTCATAAGGTTCTCTTCCTGTTTGGAGATCAATGTGTCTTTTGTATCATGGTATAAAATCTCCACAACCCAAGAATTGCACCATGTAAAATAAATTCTGTTAATTGATTCCTTTGCCTTAAGGAATGTTAGGTACTGCCTTAGAGTCTAAGAACTGGGGTGAATTATAAGCCAAATGTCTAGGAAGCATAAAATGCATATCCATGTTAAATGTGAATAAGCTAATATCATACTAGGACAATGACTTCAAGGTGGAAGTTTTGATCTTACAAACGTTTATTTTCCTCCACATTTATTGTGTTTTTTTGTAATACTGTGAAAAGTCTTCGTTTCCCTTTTCCCAAGTGTTGAGGTTCAAAAAGCCAGTTCTCAACCATAGACTAATCTTCATCTCTTCAATGTCTTGTTTTTATGTTGATTTAGTTTCATATGTAAGTATTTATATTAGTTTTCCTCAGGGATTTATACACCAATATATATATTTTCCTACACAAATATATATACAAGCTTTTGATCCTCATCTTACCACTTGACAATACAACTTTAAGTATGTTTTACACAGCTGTTCCTTGGTCAAGGTCATTTGCAAGAGCAAGTCGGTTTCTGAAGAAATCTTGTTTGGTGGGTGAAGGATCCATTGAGGGATTCTCATTAGTTTTTTCCCTGTATTCTGATCCACTGGACCTAAAATCTCAGCACACAGATAAAGTACAGGTTGATTTGGTTTTAATTGTTCTCAAATATTTTATCTATCCAAATTGTTTTGCATTTGTAAAACAGTTACCTCCTAGACCTGGAATAATATTTACTTCCCCTGAATTCATGACTCAGGACATGTGTCACTAAGATTTGCAGGGAATATAAAGAGAATATCTTTCTAATGCTTTATGGGGACAATTGTAACAACTGTGTATGTCAGTGTAAGATATTGTGTAATAACACTGTAAAGGGGGAACTAAGCTCAGAAAATTAAAGAAATCCTATTTTTTTATTTAACCAAGTAACTACTCCACAAACAAGTAAGGCCCTTAAATTAAAATGGATGGAATTCATTGTTCTCAACCAAGGTTATCAAGGGTCTTTACTGAACTTGGGCATTACATTACAAACTCTTGCTTTTACTGGTTTTCATTTTTGAATAAAAGATTTATTGAAACCAACCACACATATATGCTACATTTGGTAGAATGCAGAAATTGGTACAGTAATCAGATTGAGGAGATTCTGTAATCTCAACCACCACGAAGGAGACCAAGCCCAATCAATAGTCAACAACTCAGATCAGTCCAATTGAGTCCCCAGTCCAGGGTGCATTCTTCCTTTATCTTGGTTAAGCCAGTTGGGTAATCCATTCCATCTCTGCACCTTCTCCAGTTTGTTCATGTCAGAAGTCCCTGGAGGGAGGAGGCTTTCTGGAAAACCTCTGATAAGCTAGGCTGGGGCCCTTTGGCTAGCTTAAACTCTGAGCTAGAATAGGTAAAACTATCCCAACGACTAGAAACCAGTATCTTAAAGACCTCATGTAGGATGTATGAAAGTGATGTTAGACATTGTCCAAAGCTCCTACACAACTAAACAAATTCTCCATATGTGGAGGCAGAGTCAGGCATGCTTCCACTACCCACAAAGAAGAGTAAGTCCTTTCCCTGCCATCGGTATACTATGAGTCCTCATTGTTGTTATTAGATAAGCTCATTATGACTATCATTTACTGAAATTACTGGGCAGAATTCAAACATCCTTTTTACTTTATTAAAGGAAGGAAGTTAGATCCACACAAAGAATAAAATCCTAATGTCTGGAAACCTGATGACTGACTAGATATTTTTACTTTTCACCCTGATAGTTGGTATTACAGATGAAGCCACAGATGCCCAGCATGCTTTCTACCTCTGGTCTGTAAGGAGCACTTTCCTACTACATCCCAATGCATAGAAGAAAAACTACTCAACCCAAGTGCCTCTGGGCAGTCATCAGATAAGATGGTATCTGGGTGGGGTGAAAGTCCTCTTCCTTTCCAAGGAGCCCCCTTGGAATTCTCCCTTGAAACAGCCTCCACAAGCCCACCCTACTAGAACTCCTGGCCTTCTCTCGCCTCTCAGAACTCCCACCTGCCTCCAATTCAAGTCATCCCTGACAAGTACAGTTGTGTCCAAAATGTTAGGAAGATATGGACCATTTCATTCTTTCCCCCCTATCGTCTATTATCCAGAAGACTAGGGAATGCCTATTAAGTTTTAGGGGCAGAAAGTAGGAAGCAAGATTTGAATCTGGCTGGTGTTTTTTCCTAAATTGTTCCCCTAACGTGGCAGTTTCTCATCAGAAAGTCATTAGTCAAAACTTGCAATCTCTACCTCACATTTCCCCTTGGCTACATCTGATCTCTCCAAAACCCAACATGTCATATTTGACGGTTCTAACATGCAACTATTTAGTGTTTACCTGGAAATGGGAAAGCTTTGATGTCACCACCAGCCCCAAGGACCACAGAAATCTTCACCAGATGCGTTCCCATTTCTGAAACAAATGCCAAAATCGCCCTGTCTAGTTTTCAAAGTCCACGAACTCAGCTTAGTTTTTTCTTTTTTAACTGCTCTTCTCATAAACAACCTCTGTGTGTCTCCAGGTTTGTGAATTTCTCTGTGCTTCTTGACATTAACTATTAATTAACTAGTGGCTAACTTGCTAATCCTTTAAAAAATCTAGCATCCGCTGTAGCCATGACTAAAAGCTCATTTTCATCCTTTTTTAAGACAATTTTAACTGACCTCTACACTGCGTACATGGTATGTGGCCACTTCGACAGCTGGACTCTTCCAAAGGTGTGGCTGTTAGGCTCTGAAGTAATATTGACCTAAATTACTTGGAAATCACCTGCAGACTGAGAAGAAAGGGCCAGAGTATTTGCTTTTACTCCCTTTCTCTATAAACGAGCAATGGCTTTGGAGCTCCTGGAGCCATGGCAGTTGAGTACAGGGCAGATCTGAGCAGGCACTGAAGACACAGGCAGGCAAACATTTGCTGGGTAAGGGTACAACACTGCCAGTACATTCTGACACCTAACCATCCAAGTTAAATTTGCTACAAATAAACCTTGAAAGTTTGGAGCTGGGGAAGGGAGGAGGGGGTGGAATCTGGGGCACAGAACCCTCTGACCTAAGAAGGGCTGGTTTTCTGATTGGAAAGACTGTCCACTTTGAAAGCTTTAGGAGACATGTCCCTGGAGAAGTAAGGGGCATGTCTTCTAATAATCAACAAGGTGACTGACAAATGAGCTGAGTGCTTACTATCTTTCAACCTTGCAGCTGGGTTACCCTTACATTTGGGCTGTAAGCTCTTAATGGACTGCAACTATTTCTTTTACTTCTTTTGTGCTAAACAGAACCTAGTACACTAAAGATCCTTAACTTAGGGATTGATTTCAAATGACCTATTGAGAAACACAATAAGGTTTGAGTAATGTACAACGTCATCCCTTCAACTATCTCCTTCAATTTTCAAGTTATATTGGGAAATACAATGGGAAATGAGAAAGAACTCCAAACTAAGTATGAATGTGGAAAGGACTTGAGATTAGGCTTTAGGAGGTAAAAAAGAAGGTGAGGGTAAAATTATCAATTGATTCTTTAGTAGTCCTGTATTCTATTACATGGTCTGTCCCACAGCCAAGACTGGGCATATGCATAAACAGCTGATAAGACACCAAAAGAAGAGGATTCAGATACTCAATTATACGGGGCCCGGCAGAACTACTCTCTGTGTGTGATTCAGACCGGAAATATTTTGATGTGATTGGTGGAGGGAGGGTAATGACTGGGAAGGAGCTACTCTGAGGTGTGTAAGTTATAAAGTGCTAAAGAAGAACAGAATGAGAGAAGAAGTAGAATTAATTATTTGGGAGTCGTATTGTTTATCTTCCACTGCTCCCAGATTTGAGGATAAAAAGGAAGAGCATTTGCATTTCTTAAACTGTCTTACATAATCCTCTTCCCCTATGTCACACCCCAAACCAAGAATTCTTATTAACCTAAGTGCAAGATTTATATACAAATATGAAGTAACATCTGCCTGAGACTTCAGGATAGTCTACACTTGAGTCTTTGACAACCTCCATATAGATCCTTCTAGAATGGGATAGTTTGCCTCCCATCCTCTCAAAGGCAGGGGGATAAGGATTCAGTTCAGCATCAGCCTATCACACTAGGTCTGCTCCTGGCTTCTAAGACTCCTCATTTAAAACTGTAAAGTCACTTAACCTTTTCAAACGTTAAGATATGTGATCTTTCTTCTGATTAATTCTGGACAGCTTTCAGAGACATATGACCTGGTGTCTATCTACCCAGGACAGATGTGCCTGAGATAGAAACAGGGGATCATTCTTTTCCCCAAGTGTCTTGGGTATTTTTCAGGATTTTTTTTAAAGATGTCAACTTGACTCTCCCTTTTGAATCCTTGTGGGTATGAGCATCCGGCCCTCCCAGCCTCAGAGGGAAGAGAACCCTTTCCCAGGTTTTCTGTTGCATCTGGCTCCATGCCTAGCTTCATCCCGAAGCAGCATTCTGGGTGTGTGGGGCCACCAGCCAAACAAGCCCCTATGGATACAAAAAGTGTGTCAGTGTAGACAGGAATGAGCCTCCAGAGGTAGGGTAGGCAGGCAGTGAGCCGCAGATGTGACACGGGCGGCTTTTCTGGCGCTGGTCCGTTCTGGACCTCTGAGGCCAGGCTCTGGCATGGTTCCAGTCCCCAGGGTAAACCACTTCCTAGTCACAGGGCTTGCTGCCAAAATGATCTCCCAGCCACATGGGAGGAGAATGACCTGAGTCTCTTGCTGGTTCTTCCATCTGCCTGTCCACAGGCCTAACTTCAGAGTCTTCTGTAACAGCTCCTACATGAAGCTCCTACATAGCACCCGGGACTATGTCTTTCATGATTCCTGTACAAGTGTCTCACAAAGCACATGCACACAAGAAAGAATGCCTAATTGATGAGAAGAAGGGTGTGTTCTCAGCTAAGAGCACCTGGCCTTTCCATGCTACACTGGGGCTTCCTTGTCATTCCTCTTTACCTTAGCATAATGAAGCAAACGTCCCATGGTCTTTGCAGGGAAATACTCAGGAAAAGTCACTCAAGCTGTTTCTTGATCCCAGGCCAAACCCCCAAAGTGCTCATTGTGGTACCCTGGACATAAGGCGATAAGCAAGCATCTTCTGGTGGTGCTCACAGTCCTACACCAGATGTAAAAAGCCAGGAAAGCCTGCCAGAGGAAGCAGCCATCCGTGTGGCCATTCATGTAACGCTTCGAAACTTAAATACAAAGTATGGTGGCAGCAATAGGATTGATGCAGGAGGGACTGATATAAGAGAAGAGATAAGAGGAGTAAGGGAATCCATTTGGTTCTAAGAAGGATCCCAAAAAGTTGCAAGAGGACTGAAAGCAATTAACCAACATGAATTTGAAGCGTCCACACAGCAAGTCCTCAGCATTGTACGGAGGGCTGTGAAGGGGCTATAGAAAGATAAAATCGGGTCTTCCACACGGTGAGTCTTTAAAATTATGGGTCCCAAGGCCACACTAATGACTTGTGTCAGATGTTCAAAAGATGTGATTATGCAGATTGATCCACAACAAAGTCAAACTACAGATAAAGCAAATCTCAGCCCTGGACATGACTCAGGTGACTGTCCTGGACAATCTCTCACCCAGGTGGGAATCCTTGTCATAACGTCCCTGACCAGGATCATCTACCTTCTCCCAAAGAGAACCCACTCCCTCACCAGGCAGCCAGCTCCAGTTCTAGGCAGTTGCATTTTTAGAAAGTTCTTCCTCTCACTCATGGCTCCTAGTTCTGCCCCCTGGACACAGAGAGGATAAATCTATTCCCTCTGCCTCAGGTAACTGCACAGCATTTTCTTCCATCTCTCCAAAACATGGCAGTTTGTAAAAAAAAACAAAAAACAGTGGTGGATCCAGGGCTCATTGCTTTCCAACAGACAGTACCCAGTCATTATAAATGGCAGCGGGCAAAAAGTGGCTGTGTATTTTGGGAATACTGTGGTTAAAAAGACAAAGGTTCAAGCAGTGCCCTTACAGCGGTTCTCAACCTGTGGGTCGCGAACAATAAAAATACATCCTGCATATCAGATATTTACATTACGATTCATAACAGTAGCAAAATTACAGTTATGAAGTAGAAACGAAAATAATTTTATGGTTGGGGGTCACCACAACATGAGGAACTGTATTGAAGGGTGGCGGCCTTAGGAAGGTTGAGAACCACTGCTAGGATTTAGGAACCTAAATCCCAAGGTCAGGCAGGGGAGTTGTCTGCCTCCAGGTTTCTCCACTCTTGACACAAGTAGGCACTAAGTCTGTGATCCTAAAGAGAGAGACAATTCTTAACTCCTCACCCTAAATCAAGGGGATCCAGCAAAAGCCATGCCTGTGTGCATGGGGCTGCCTTAGCGAAACTGAAAGGGGACTTTGCAGGGTAGGGCTGTTTCTGATTGAGTCATGTTTCCGTCTCTGCCTATTTCCCCTTCTTCCAGTAACAACAGGTGAGGACCAGCAGAGACCCACTGATCTCAGTACCACTCTCCCCAAGGGAGAAGAATTAGACAAACTATCAAAAAAAGAGTCCTCACTCCAGGCCTGCCCCCAATTCTTTCACCAGGATAATTCATTATCTAAATCAGCCCAGGAGCCTCTACCTTTAGGAACGTGATTTTCCTGTGCTTCCTCATTTATTAGAAACTCTCCAACGGCAGCAATAATGTCCTTAACTTTTCCATCCACTAAAATATGAAGACTTCCTGTTTAAAACTGACTGCAAGAACCTCCTCCACCAAGAAAAACTAAGCAGCAGGGGAAAATCTCTCTAAGGAAGAGTGAAGTAGGCCTGAGGACCCGTGGCAATAGAGGCTGCAGTTTCTCAGGTGTGCAATGGCTGGACTTGCACAGTATGTTCCTTACATCTCATGCTGGGGTTAGACCACTGTCTCCCAGTATGTAAGACAGGGATGGTAAGTGCTGGCCAAAAAGAAGGACCAGAGATGGGAAATGGCTTGCTTTTGCCTTCTATGGAGTATGGAAACTCCATTACAGTGATTTTTTTAAACTAAGGCCCAAGCCAAATCTATTCAATCATTTCAGATAGGGAAGACACTGTAAGTCCCAATAAACAGTACCCTAGGGCCCTACAGGCAGAAGTGCTGAGATGCCTTAGAAAACTTTCCATTGCTCCCAACTCCCATAGAGGATCCCACTCCTCCCAGGCTAAAAGGAATTCCATGGTCACCAGCTCATTGCCCAGGGGACCGCCTCTGCTCACTCTGCTCAGGACACGTGACTTTGGGAACAAGGAAGTAGGGCCAAAAGATAGAAGAGGCAGAGGACAGAGCTGAGTTTGCTTTCACTCTAGGAGATTACAAGGAGAAACATCTTCACCTGCATGAATCGTGGCTACTGGGAGCAGGCACTGAGCTTGAAGCCGTTGTGTGAAACCAGGCTACTCCATACTTATTACTATTAAAACCTCAAGACTCAGCCCAAAGGGAAATGAGTTACAATGCTGTCTTGTCTAAGGGCTACTCACTTCTTTTTAAAGAGCTTGCGGAAGGAGCTGCGAAAGCCCCCTTTCTGGTCTTGCCTGGGGTTTTGATCGCTGAAAGACGTTTGTTCACTTTCTCTTTCTTCCTTTGGACAGAATCTGGTGGTGTCTTCTAAGTGCATCTCCTGAAAACACAAAAGAGGGATTTCTTTTTCACTCTGTTCCATCGTTAACATCTATCCTGACTGTGGGACATTTTTTTTTTTTAAGCTCGGTCACTTTCCTCTTCCACCCCCAAAGACTAATGGTGGGTACCCTATTCCAACTACAGCAAACCTAGGCTAATTAAGAAATTAGTAGTTGGAAAGAGGATATTTTCTGCTGAGTGTAGCAGTATTTTCTATGTATCAAGGCAAAGAGTCTAGAGTCTATATCATAATCCTATATGATATAACAATAATTAAAGACCAGGAATTAAAGGAAATTGGCAAATGTTTAAAGAGTATAGAGAATAACTTCTTCTGGCACAAATACCACCTTGCTGGGAAACCAGATGTAGGACCCTCACAGCTCTGGGTATGTTTCTCTTTCTACAAAATAAGAAAGCGGCTTGATTGTAATACTAGTTTTAAACTAATGTTCCTAACTCTTCATTTTAGACATAAAAGAAGGAGTTTTTAAGAGGTCACATCTGTTTAAAAGTAAATATCAATTAATATTTCCAACCTGCACATATGCCTTTAATACAGCTTTTACAATTCTTAGTTCATGGGATTTGGAATGTAAAGTAAAAATAAGGCTCTATCTTTTGTGAACTCTCTAGTTGCTTTTTAACTGTGAGATGTGCTAAATAAAATAGATATGAATATATATTTATGTTCCATATGAACAAAATATTTACTTAAAGGTGACTGCAATTCAAAGCAAACAAAAATAGATGCTTAATTTTGAACCCAAGAAGTCAAAACAAAAGCCACCCTGAAAGTTTCATGAATTAGATGGATAACTGCTTGCTGATAGAGAAGCAAAGATCGGGGATGAATTTTTTTTTTTTTCCAAGAAACATATGGGTTTGAATTTGAGACCTTAACTTGGGATTGTAGTAGCAGATCTAGAGATTCTCTGATATTCTACTAAGGTTCAAAACTAAACCATGGAGACCAACATCTTGATGGGTTAGTGTGGTATTTCTCAAAGTGTGGTTTTGAACCACACTACAGGATCAACTGGGGCCTTTATTTAAAATATAGATCCCTAAGCCCCACCCAGATTTTCTGAACCAGAATCTCTGGAGTTACACACACTTAAGATTTTGAAAAGCTGTGGTGTAAGGTATGCCCCTGCCCAACTGCACTTAATGTTTCTATGAATCATCTAGGAATCTTGCTAAAATGCAGATTCTGATTCAGTAGGTCTGGGATGGGGCCCACATTCTGCATTTATAACAAGCTCCCAGGTAGGTAATGCATTCATTCATTCCTGGCCCAAGAACCACATTTTGAGAAGTGGGCTTTTAGGGACTATTTAGAAACAAAGTCTATTAATCGTTTAAGGAAAATCTTTCTGTGGCATCATGCTCTTGATAATATCTTGCACTTGTATAGCATTCCATACTTTGAAAAGCATATTGACCAAGTTTATCTTCTTTGTCCTGATCCTCACAACAGCACTGTGAGGTGAGAAAGGTATATATTGTCTTATTTTTACAGATGTGAAAACTGGAGGTACAGAGAAGCCAAGCGCCCTGACCCGAAGCCCACAGCTATTTGGCAGCGGAGTCAGGACTAGAACACAGATCTCCCCACACCTAGTCAGGTGTTCTTTGCAGAAAGCATACTGTCTTTCTTTCTTAAAGACTAAAGACTAGGGTCTGACCTCATTAACTGTCCCCAAACCTTCAGACCAAGGTCAGATAGCAAAATACTAAACGGTGACATGGAGGCCAGCTGGTGGATCAACGCTTCCCTGGCTATTTTGTGTTGTCTCCGTCCCGCTGGAGTCTGCAAAGTCACGTGACACCTGTTTCCAGTCAACGGGAAACCAGCTCGTCTTTGCCGTGAACTTTGCAGGGAGGCCACCGGGAGGCAGGGCAACTCGTGTCTTCCCGAGCTGCACGAGAGCTGGCACGGGTCAGGGAGTGGAGTGAGGCGGCAGTGTTGGATATTTTGAACATTTAAACAAGGAGGCGTGTGTGCCACACCGGCAAAGGAAGAAACAGGCAGGCGGGGACTTGCCTGCAATGCTTTGCAAGTGAAGGACCCTGCCCTAACCGGTTTGGCTCAGTGGATAGAGCATCGGCCTGCGGACTCAAGGGTCCCAGGTTCGATTCCGGTCAAGGGCATGTACCTTGGTTGTGGGCACATCCCCAGTGGGGAGTGTGCAGGAGGCAGCTGATCGATGTTTCTCTCTCATCGATGTTTCTAACTCTCTATCCCTCTCCCTTCCTCTCTGTAAAAAATCGATAAAAAAAATATATGTATATATATTTTTTTTAAGTGAAGCACCCTGAGGCGCTGCAGCTTGTGCAGGAAGGCAGAGGAGACCCCTAACTCTTTCCGTGGGTGCGGGGGTGGCGGGGAAGCAGGTGTAAGCAGACTCTGTGTCTTTTAGATCTCTTTGCCGTCATACATATCCATGCAGGGCATGCCAGCTGTGTCTTGGTGCCAAGTGCAGGTCAGACGCTAACACTCTCCTTTGAGGGCATCTGAGGTCAGGACAAGCCTTGACCCCAGCACCTGCCTTAATAGGCCGTTGGGACTCGCCCAGCCGGCCGCTCCCCACCTGGCAAGGCCCCCTCCACGCTGCAGGTGAGGCCAGGCTGCTCCCTGGACAGGTAGGCCCGGGTTTGGGTTCGGTTTTACTTTACCCTCCTTACTTCCAAATAGGTCTGCTTTTCGCTTTGGGACCTCTGCTGGGGGAAGTAGGTCCTGGGCGCGCCGCGGGCGGCCGCGGCGGCGGCCGAGCCGTGCGAGCCGTGCGAGCCGTGCGCCTGCGCGCGCTACGCTCGGCCTTGAGCGGCGCGCGGCCGCCGCTGCTGCTGCGCGTGCT